TGGACTGAATTTACATGGTCTCTTGGAGTTCTTTGGGCTAGGCCTGAGAGCATCAAAGTTACCTTAAACTGGATTGCAAAAATCCAGGCAATCATTAGAAAGCAGCAGAAAGATAGAGTTTTCCGGATTTCTTTGTTGCCATCTCACGGTCATCCATATTTTTGCAGCCCCTATACAGTAGACCTAGTCCGCACATAGAAATAGTCATAAAAAGATGCTAGTCCCCTCTTTTAAAATGGATATTTCTTAGCGAAAGCAATAGCAGACTGTTTTGCTTTTCTATATTTAATGTTTTCTACAGTGCAGGGGATTAATGCTGCATTCAAGGGATGATGACAAGATCAATGTTGTCTACTCTGACTGGGTCTGGTTCTTCAAGGCTTCAGACAAGAGTCTTTCCCAACTCTGTCTGGAAATATTGGTGATTAATATGCAAATTTCTATGTGCATAGTATGTGCTGTAACACTGAACTGGGATCCAATATTTGGGGATTAGTAGCCAAGTAGGAGAGCCAGTCTGGTGTAGTGGTTAAGGCTAGTGAGTTCTAGTCCTGCCTTACTCATGAAGCCATCTGGGTGACCTTGGGGCAGTCCCTCTCTCTCAGCCCTAGGAAGCAGGCAATGGCAAGCCACTTCTGAAATCTTGCCAAGAAAACTGCAGGGACTTGTCCAGGAAGTTGCTGGAGTCAACAATGATCAAAGGTGCACACACGCGTGCACACACACAAACATACACAGTAGACCAGGTCTCTGATCTAGCATATTTTTATACAAAAGAATCAGCAAAAATATTTAATATATTATATTAGGTAGATTTTTTTTATACTATTTGCTTAACTTATTTGGGGATTAGTAGCCAAGTAGGAGAGCCAGTTGGTGTTGTGGTTAAGGCTAGTGAGTTCTAGTCCTGCCTTAGGCACAAAGCCAGCTGTGTGCGTGTGCGTGTGTGCATGCCTTTGAGTCAGTGTTGACTTCTAGCAATGCCTGGACAAGTTCCTGAAGTTTTCTTGGTTCCCAATTTCAAAAAGGAAATGGTCATACCCAGATTTCAAATATGTTTGCTTAACTTGTTAAAAATCTGGTGGGCTCATAGTTGGGCTGGACTCCTTGCACTTTTTGCTTTCTCTGACACTTCCTGAACTGACTGTCATTCTAGCAAATGGGGAAAGGTAAGGAGTCTTTCTGTAATCAGCTGGACATTGATAATAAACCAGCTAGGTTTTCAGTTAAACAAAGTTGGAAGAAGTCCCTTAGCGGCTTTCTTTTCTTTTCTGTTCTTAAAGTACAATTTATCTCTTCCATAGATGGCTCCCTTCTTCAGCTGGGGAATAGCACTGATGTTTAATTATTCCTTCATGAATCCAGCTACCTGAAATCTGAACATTTTTGAAGTTCCCAATTTAAAAATGGAAATGGTCATACCCAGATTTCAAACATGGGAAGTCCATTAAAATTCAAATAAAATGGATCCTCTGAATTACTTCTAACCTTGTCCCATAATAATAGACTACTGCAATCTATATTGTGGAAGCTTCCTGGGTTTTTGTGAAACCGTTTGCCATGTATAACAAGAGCTTAAAACAACCGACCAATTGAACCTGAACATAAAACTGAAAAGCAGAACAGGAAAGGGTCTGTGTGCTCATTACACTAACAGCATGGTTTTCTTACAACAGCTAGGCAGGACATTTGAAATTGGACTTGCAACTAACTGTGTATATTATAGGAATTATGTTACATTTAGGCTGTCACTGTAACTAATGGTCACAGTCCCTTGGCTTGCTGGTAATTTTTGACTTGTTTCCAAGGGTGACTGTAGGGTTGCATTATAAACAGTAAATGGATACCCCAGGTAGATTTAGAAAAGGTGTTACAAATGAAGACAGATCTTGCTTTGGAAAAAACCTTCCATGTGTGTGTGTGTTTTAAGGGACTGTATGTGGTGGTCACAAAATCAGGAGGTGTTGCTCTAGAGAAGGAATTGTTTATTTACTTGTAAGAAACACAGCACAGCGTGAAAAATTGTCTTTCATTTAATAGTAAATTAAGCATTTATTTTCCTGATGGAGGAATCCAAGAGAAGCTGAGATGCATAGATTGCAAGGAAAAATGAAAAGATGCCTGCTAACAGCAAATCAGATTGCTTTGTTCTACAAAGGGACACATCCAGTCCATCTACTGGAAAAAAATGGCTAGTTTTGGCAAAATATGTGTTCCCTGCTCCTGTTTCTGGTTTGTATGAATTTAATTGTAAATGATAATGGCTAGTTCTGGATAGGGACCATCACATATAAGGATTGGGAAAGTCTAAACCTTTTTTGTTTCTTTGAAACAAAACAAAAGACAAACAAAAACCCACCCTCCCCAGAAGTGTATGTGTTAACAACAACATCCCTGCACTGGCTCCAATATATTTTTTAATGGGTCTACCAAACAGGGGGCTGTACTCTCCATCTCTCTCTCTCTCTCTCTCTCTCTGATAATTATTTTCCTACTTGTTCCTGCTGCAGCTGTAGATCCAATTCCACTAAAGATTGTCCTATCACGAACATCAAAACCTACCTTTTTAATGAGCCATATCCATCTAAAGTATTTTTGTTGACTCTGCCTGATAGCAGATATCCAAACTTTCAGAAGGAGCTTTTTCAGGTCTCTCTGGAGATGCTGAGGATTCATCCTCAGTACATAAACCATATGCTGAACTATGGAGCTACAACTCCTATTTGCTGCCCTGTGGCTTTATATGGAGAGGTTTCATGTGAATAGAGCCTAGGTATCATATATATTGCTTATTTCAGTTTCTGAGCAAGCATACCCAAAATAACTCAGACATATACAATAAAGCAGTGTTTGGAGAATGTTCATGTCTACATGAGACCGCCTATTAAGCGCAACTTTAGGATTCTTCCTGACTTTTGGGAATAGATCCTTTCCAGTTCACTGTGGGGGGAAAAAATCTTTCCATTAGTGCTTAATTCATATTAGCTTTTCCTTGCATCTCCACTGAACTTAGCTGAAACATTATCTTTTCCAATTCACTCAACATTAGTGAAGCACAAGCAAGCAAATGACCTGGGATGTAAGTTTTCTCATGTTACTACTCAGGACTATTTGCATAGGAGCACAAATAATTATTAAAGTAGCATGACAAGATCCCCTAAGACTCTTTGCTTCCCATCTCTATAGCTTGCTGCAACATTTGCTAGGCATAGCAGGGAAGCCAATCTGTACCAGATGGAAATTAAGCTGTCACACTTCATGCCGGATGTGAATGGATTCAGTGCACACTTCCCTGTTTCCACTTCATCACTGTGAAAGGAAGGGAAGTAGAATAAACATTATCTTCCATCAAGAGAGGAGAATATATATACACACACACACACACATACTGTATATCTATCTATCTATCTATCTATCTATCTATCTATCTATCTATCTATCTATCTATCTATCTATCTATCCATCCTGCATCTTCTTTTTCAATATATCCATGCCGAGAGACAGAAATGCAATGCTTCAATATTATTGGACGTCAACACTTTATTGTGGATTCACAACTTAGTCCAGATGCTACAGTGCTTTTATGTTACCAAATGTTGCTTTTTCTATTTTTCCTTGTAGGCGGCAGATTGTACAATTTCTTCCCCTCCTCACCAAATGGCCACATCTGTTTTAGCTTCTTCTCATATTCCTTCTTTGCTGTGCTGAGACTGTCTGTAGATTGATCTGGCTATAAATTAGACGTGTCTGTGTGTGTCTGTGTGTGTGTGTGTGTATGTGGTGGCGGGTGGGGAAAGAGAGTTGCAGTTTGAAAATGAAATTAATTAATGTTATTTCAAAGACCAAAAGGAAGTGGACAATTTGATAGGAACAGCAAATGAAACTCTTTCTACTTAATGAAATGATGTGAACAATAGGCAGAACTGCCCAAATATTCAGGGTTGGCTCCGGGTACCATTTTGGGATTCCTTCTACACTACAGAGTTTGTTAGCTAGACATAGACAGCAAGTAAAATCCATTGCATTATTTGAGGCTACTGTTTCAATTCATGTATCCCTCTGGGGCATGCTAAGAATATTGAAGGAGGGTAAAAATTGGGTCTTAATGTTAAGTAAAGATTGGTTCTATATTTGGAGAACAGTAGACATCAACTCAGTGGTGAACCAGTAGGACCCAACACTTACCCAACAACTGTATTGGTGCCAGAACTGATTCCATGAGCCTTGTGAGGAACACATTGACATTTTTTCAGGAACATGCAATATTACCCAAGTATACTGATATCAAAGTGTTATTCCTTTCTCTGCTTCTACAATTATTATTTAAATCAGAAACAGCCTGGCACTTTTTGCTGCAGGATTCTCAGGAGATGTTAAAACAGGGAAGATGGTGCTTGCAGAAGCATGAAACTCTTGCTTCTTTTGTACATGTGGCATGTGTGTACAAAGGAGTTGTAACGGTCTGTGGGAATGACCTTGGGAGACAGGAGGGAAAGCCATAGACTGGACAACCAGCATGTAAAAGATGCCTCAGCCCACAGAAGGGGGATGGTGTAGGAAACCTTTCAGGCGGGACTCTCCCTAATTTTCCAGAGCGTAAAAGGAAAGTAGGGGAGAAATGTT